GACAGCAAATGTACACTGACATACAAGCTGTATACTCACTACTTTACATTGTAGCAAAGTGTCATTTCTTCTGTTTTTTCACATGAAATTATATAATAAAATATTTACAAAAATGTAAAAATGTGAGGGGTGTACTCACTTCTGTGAGATACTGTATATGAATTCCTCGATGTGCAGGAGGCGTGAAAAGTTCTAGATGTTTTTAAAAGGTCTGTGCCACGGAAATGGTCACGGTTAAAACTAAATCATATGTCACCGCTATATAAATACAGAGTTGTCCTTTGTTTAAGATAGCCAAAAGACATACTTGTAAAATACTAATTAGCAATTATTGACATGGTTTTATTAAGCTTTAACATTCACCCAGAAAAGCCAAATCCCCAATATAATGCAGAACTAAAAACAAACACCTTGCTGAGAGATGAACAGGTTTACTTTTGTTTATACAATGCACACTGACACCTTCAGTTTGTTTCCGCTTGCTGGTCACAAAACGAGAATAGAAAAAGACATGCTCATGCACGAATGGGGTTATGTGGTTTATTTTGTGGATACCCAAAATAAACTAAAGGCCTCACATGCAGAGAATGAGAAGACAGGTGGTGAAAAACGTCATTCTTCATCACTAAAATGTTTGGTTATCTTTCTCAGAAAACAGCGTGTTCTTTGCAATTGTTTACAGAACTTTCTTACAGGGGATGATGCAGAATTAAATGTATATATAAACCCCAAACCTTTTTTTTTGTTTTAGATAGGAGTCCTAATATCTGCCTACTCTTTTAGGTTCTCTATGCTGTCTACGTTCCTGCAAGGGTGTTTCACGCATCTATTGTGCGTCCAGGGATAGTGATCTATTGCTAATTGCATGTAACCGTATCACATATCAGTGCCAGTGGACTGCGGCTTTAATTTGTGTCACCCAATCAATAATTTGGATGGGTGACAGCGGCAGCTTCTAAAATTCATAGGCCCCAGCCACAGGTATTCCAAAATGCACATTCACAACTTGAGTGAATGAACACCCAACATTTTTTTTCTTCAGATTTCAGGCTGAACATAAAATCTAACAGGATTCCTCCCTTACACGCTAAACAGTGTAGATGGGAGAAATCACCAGCTTTTGCCAGGGAAGCGCACTCCTGTGGTGGTCTACAATCTCATGTTTAGTTTACGAATTTGTAATAAAATTGTAGTCTATCACAGGAGTGAGCTTAGAGCAGTGACTACTTTACAACACACACAGGGACCATGGGGAACAAAAGTAGCCACCCTCCAGAAGGAAGGACAGTGTCAGCACCACCAATTCAGAAGTGATTTAGGGATATACAGCTGAGTGATACACAAATAAGATAACATTTTTATTAATAGCTAAAGGGTACTTGAATGCATTTTTAAGATTTAACTTCTGAATTTAGTGTCACATTAAACTATTCAGTTATTTGTTAGATTTAGAAAGTTATCTATAGAACTGTAGTTTTAGCTTTTAGGGATACATAATGAAAGATCCACTTGAATAAGAACATAATTTATATACTGGCCACTGCAAAAGTGTATGTAACATTTAACACAGTATGCAATCACAAGAAAGTGACTCAAAAGCTTTTGTTTAGTCTAAAATAACCACAGCCATCCACATAGGAAGGCATAAAACACACGAAGGAAACAAAACTGCCTTGTACCCCTTCGCACAAATGATTAATTTGCATATGATGCGCATTGTGTTAAATACAATGGCTATTACATCATTCTTTGTAACGCGACCAGTGTCTGCTAAATGTAAACTGGATCAGGCTGAGAAATTCTGATCACAGGACACTGACTAAAATCAACCTCTAAAGCTAGCCATACACTAATATCTTCTTTGTTCGCCCTGTGATCTAAAAACACAGAAAATATTACAGATTCCTCAATGAACACTTAAGAGCATTAATCGAGGGATCCCTGCTGTTTGCACTGTATCCTGATGGCAGCCGCCGGCAGTAAACAGAATGCCCGAACAAAGCCAGCAGCTCATTGACCGCCGACTCTGTCTGTTCAAAGATTTTCCGACCAGCTCCTTGGATTAGCAGATTGAGGTATGCCAGCTGAAAGGGTGAAGACAGCATCGCTCACTGTTTGAATTTCAGCCGGTTCATGAAGAACTGTCCTAAATTTGTATAGTATATGGCCAGCTTAAGTCATAAGCAACTGGAAGAAAAAGCTTTGAAATTATTCTCTAAACATAACCTATTATCGAATAGGCAGAAATTAGGATCATATAATACTTGAAACCAGCTGCAGAAAATTGTAAGGATGTAACACATAACTGATACAGTATAAGGCTACAAAGAAAACAGATCAAAATAACATCTACAGCCCAGTAAATTTTACAGCCAGGACCAGATGATTTTAATGTCCCGATACTTAAAACCATAACATTCAAGAGGGTGTACTTTCTTTGTCACATGACTAAGCTTAACCATGTCAATAGAATAGTCATTTTCAATAATGTTTAATTCTGCAGCTCACATTAAAATAATGCTTGGTGAACCTACAATGAAGGTCCTTGTACATGCACTTATTATGTGCTCTGTCTTGTCACACGTGTCTTCATGGTGACAAGTGGCTGTTCAACACACATTACATAAGCATGGTCCACGGCTACCAATATCAGAAAACCCATCCTGAAAAATGCTATGCAGCCATGAATGTAGACAGGAGGTGATTGTAAAGAGGCTGCAGGAGATCGGTAGCACTATGTGTAGTCACCGTAAAATCAATTTCTCTATGTTCATTGAAGGACACACAAGGAGATCCTTATCTCATATCGATGGGCTTCAGTTATAAGAAATGGGAGTGTAGGGCAAAAGCCAGCAAAGAACACTCCCATTCATTATAAATGTCCTCCAACGAACAGAAAATAATACTAATGGTTTAGAATGTCCATGCTCTAGCAAACTAAATATCACGAACATCTACTTTAGGTGGTAGAAAGTTTTGTTAAGGTTGTACTTGGAGGCCCCATAAGAAATGTAACCCCAGTAACCTGGCACAGTTCAGCCCAATGTTCCATTTGAGATGGAACGTTCTATGTTCTAGTTTCTCTTTTAACTAGTTTAGGTTCAGTTGTTTGGGCTGTATAAATGCGGGAGGTAACACGTGGGTGGCCAATTTGTAAAGAAAAGATAGGCAAGTCAAAAGGTCATGTTTTGCACTTGATGGCTAAATCCTTCTGCATGCCACACTCCAACAAACATCACTGGAGTTGTAAGTACAAGAGAAGATTTCAGACAATGCTTCCTTAAACAGCATTTCCACTTTTGAAACCAAACTAAGATAACATCTACTTTATATGCGTTTTTATTTTTTAAGTGATGCAATGTGAATAAGAGCATAAAAGTTTCTGCTTACCTTTTTAGGTGCTTTTCACCTGCTTAAAAAATCCTGCGCATTAGCAAAACTTTGTTTCCAGCATTCGGTGCATGGCAAACGCGGAAAAAGTAGTCAATGTCACAAATTGGGTGACGTGTGTTCCATGTTTTTTCCTGCGCATTCTGACACACATGTATGCAAGGGGAAAAATGCATTTGCTCAGCCGCATTTGGGGTGCCATTACCAAGTAATGACAAGGCAAGTGCGTTCCGCATTTGTGCATGTATCGTGAACACATCAAAGCATGCACGTCTGTGCATGTTTGACACATGCTCATGATACACATATGTGAACGACGCCTTAAGCTTTGAAAATGAAAGATCAAAGCCGATTGTTTACTATGGGCAACTGATCCAGATTCTGCCTGCTATCTGCATGAATTCTATAAAAATATGGTCAGCTTGGCCGACCACTCCTTTTGGACCGCAGGAAGAAGGCGCGATGCGGACATTGGAAAACATTAGCAAATGGAAAAGGCTCTCTAACCTATCCAGTCACCTTGCCTTGGTTGATGGCGTCTGCAGTAGCCCAATTGTCACCAAATTCAGCCCAAACCACCCAAATCAGGAAACCAGAGGAACTTTACACCAGGGGTAGGCAACCTTGGCACTCCAGCTGTTGTGAAGTCCCATGAGGCATTGCTAGAGTCTGACAGCCACGGTCATTACTCCCATAGGCAATGGCATAATAGGATTTGTAGTTTCACCACAACTGGGGTGTCAAAGTTGCCAATCCCTACATTACAAAAGATATCTGGCCATACATTCTGATTTATTTATTACAAGTATTTATACAATGTTCTTTAGATTTACCAATAAATATGTAGTACAAGTGTCTTCCGGAGTAAGAACATCTGGAATAGATTGTTTAGGTAGGGTTTCTCTTAAACCTGACCATACATGGCTCAAATTTTGACTGATTCCTGTTAAATCGACCAAAGTGTGAGCTGTCAGTGGCCTTGTCAGCACCAAGAACGTCAACTGAAAAAACAAAGACGACGGGTGAAAAAATGGTTAACCGAACAGTGACTGCATCCCATCAGATGTCACTGCTTGGGTATTCAGACAGTTTTGGGTGCCAGATGACTGAATACAATAGCCGACAGGGAAGATGCTAAGAAGCGTAGATGGATGAATTAAGTGGTTTTCCTCATTCAGGCAGCGAGGCTAAACATGAGAAATCTATCCACATACGGCTAGCTTAAATATCTATGGTAGACCTAAAAGAGACCGAATACAGATCACAAGGTGTATGGTCAGGTCATTGGAAAGAGTCAAAACAACAAATCTTCAGTATAGATGGACAGACAAAGATACATACTAAGCTGTGAGACAGATAAGCCATTTTAGAAATCATTTATCTACAGACCTAACATAGCTGCGTGAACATTTGATGTGGTCATGGAGTGATCTGCCAAATGTGATGATGCCCTCTGTGTTTGGAAACCAATAAACACTTGCCTGCCATGATTCACCAAGTCTGGAGCCTAGCAGGTCGTAAATCTGGAAAACTCTGCCTTTTCTTTGGATCGGACTAAAAACACTGTGATGGCTTCAAGGATTGTGTCACAGATTCACAAGAAACGTTACCTGGGACATCATGCCGATAGGATCGCTCACATATTCACTAAGTGTAGCCATGTTTACTTAGTAGGCCTCAACTTGCTTCAAAACACATCCAGTCAAATCTCTGTCATACTGGCGAGAAAATCTGTAAAAGGGAGAACATACAACACGTTTATTATGTGGCGATCTTTATGGAAGAGTAGGCATGCCCTGGTTTTATTTACCAAGACAAATAATGAATCGATTTAGGCAAAATGAGTAGTAGACCATAATTAAAGTGAACCACTACCCAAATGCGGTATTGTCATTTTTCGGATAGAGTAAAGCTGGTCATACACCTATAGATTATCTGCAGATTTTCTATGATCAGATGGAAAAAGTGCAACAGATTCCTCCATCTACACTTAACTGTGTGGATAGAGGAATCTCCCACGGGGCCAAGCTTAAGTATCTTGCTAGTCACCCCTGCTGGCTCTCAAAACACCTGAACAATGCCTGCATCCAATCAGATTGTTCAGGTATGTTGACAGCCAGCGGGGCCGACTAGCAAGATACTGAAGCTTGACCCATCGGGAGATTCCTCCATCCACACAATTTAGCATAGATGGAGGAATCTGTTGCATTTTTTCCATCTGACCATAGAAAATCTGCAGATAATCTAGAAGTGTATGGCCAGCTTAAGGGAGAGTAATAAATCCTGTTAGCTTTTTTTTTAGCCATTTGTGTCACATTGGGGAGATCTCAGTTTACTTCCTGTCTGATAGCCACAACGGGAAGTGAGAGGAAACCCATCCAAAGAGAAGTATTCCTTCGTAGTCAGCAGGCGCACCAGAATAAGTGCCCCGTTGGAAGGTTTCCCATCTATTCCTGTTCTGGTGACAACCCAAAACTTTACATAACAGTCACCAGGACAAATAAAGAGGGTTAATCTCCCTAACGGGGACACAAGCAGCGATAAAAACCTGATAGGGGTTATCTCTTTCCACTCCCCCCTGCCGGCTGCTGTATACCTTTGAATTTGGCGCAGCTATACGTGGCTCTGTCCACAGAGCTGCATCATCCATGCACAGATCCTTTGACAAGATCTGTGAATGGAAAAACCACCCCATCAATCCCATCAGCCACAGCAGCAGAGGGATTTGTAGTTCTCGATGGAATACAAGTAGGGTGATGTCACTGTACTGGTAGTCCATTCATTCTCCCATCCATGTTACTGAATGTCTGTACCTCTGTACGGACAGAGATAGGAGGAAGAATCTGCAGAAGCCAAGACGCTGCATCTGTAATCCACTGAACACAGTTGCAATACTTTACTGGCTCCTATGCAAAAATAAATAACTTTTTTTTTTTAAGAACATGTGTAAGTTTCATATTTTTCTTCTGAAAGGTAGACGTTATCTTGCTGTGAGCCCTCCCAAGTCTCTTTATCAATCCATTCCACAAGACTGGTAACATTGTTAACATGTACGGTAACTACAGGTCCACTTTAGTTTAAAGCTACTTGGTAATATTTAGTAGTGTGATCACGCTAATAAAACCACTTACTACTAATCACCAGCTGAACAGATGGAACAAAAGGCTTCTTATAGTATAAGCTACACATACAGGGGTGGACAATTCTCCCTCCAGTTCTTGTGGAACTACAAGTCTCATGAGGCATTGCAAGACTCTTAGCCACAGGCATGACTCCCAGAGACAGAAGGATTATGGGATCTGTAGTTAAAGCACAGCTGGAGGGCCAGAGTGGCCCACCCTTGCATTAGCACGTAGTAGTGATTTACCTCACATAACTCAAGCAATGTACGATCATACAATTAAACAAAATCACTAATACATGTTACTTTTGAAGTTTACACAATGGTTAGCCATTTGTTTCACCTGTTTGGTTAGCAATTAATCCATTGTGACTGAGCTATTCAAATCTCACTGGTTAAAGTATATCTAAAGCCAAAAAGTTGTGTTTGTTTGTTTTTTGTATAAAGGAGGGAAGGGTTGCTGATCTGCATACTTTGTCACTCTATGAGCTTTGGGAATAGTAGGAGAGCTAGGCAACTAGAATTTCAGAGGGCATGATGTTACCAGCAAAAAAAAGGCACAAGGTAATTTAAACAAAATACATAGTAAAAATGAATAATAGTACATTGTTGCTTGTAGTGAAAGACAAACACCATGGAGGGTTCAATAAGGTACAGTATGTCAAATGTTTGTGACAATATACCGGTATGAAGGATGAAACTTGTCCACCTGGCTGCTCCTGTCCATACCCTGGGCCTGGCCACCCACTGCACTCAATCCACCCTAGTTGACATAATGTGAACCCAGCAGTAGACTGAATGTCTGGAGTCAAAGACGGTATTTTAGGATCACAGGATCTGTCACTTCCCTCTCATCGTCTTTTTGTATCTAGTCTCTCCACTCGAGTAATGACGCATTTCTTACAATAGGCTCAGTTAACTAAGCAATGTTAATTATTTTGTATATGAACTAATATATTCAGCAGTCAGAGCGGCAAATATGTTCCCAGTAGTATTAAACCCTCTCTTTTTTTTTAAAATGCTTTTCTACCGCAATTCGTATATAAATGGCAGAGTGGTGGACTGGTATTTACCCACCACCATTTGTAAACGCTACTGTAGAAAAGCCTGCGGGTATCCATTCCATTGGCTAATCTCTGTGTACTGAGCCGTCATTGGACGGTTTGGTACAAAGACAGTATACAGAGCTGATCCAAGCGGCTCTGTTGTGTGTGATTGGTTACCACAATGATCACATGCAAGTATGTACATTGTTGCTCTCTCCCCTTCCTCTTCCAACAAGGTAAAGAGAGGAAATAGGATCATAAATGGGAAATGAATGGATAGATAAGTCACAGCTGCTGTTCCACTCACTGACTTGGGATTGTGTTTTTTTAATCCTTTAACCCCCCCCCACATCTGATCTCCAGCTTGTCTCTCATTGTCACCTGTATATTAACCCCTCACATACACACATAATCGTTTCATCTCCATCCTCCCACTGTATGTGACCCTTCCATTAACCCCTTCCATGTACAAATATTATATCTGGTGCAACATTAGCAAGCTTCATGTTTAAATCCCCCCCAACACCTGCAGGTTTCTTAATTTCCAAAATATTGTGGCAAAAAAAAAATTAGATCACATTGCGGTGTTATGTTTTATTTTTTTAAAGTAGTCACTTCAGGGGCTTTCATACCATCCTAACATTTTTATTTGCTATGTTTTGCAACAGAAAGGGAAAACTTTTTTTTTTTCCAAAATATTTAGCCTTTTTCCTTTATACCGTAAAAAAAAAAAAAAATCGAAAACTTAGTGGCTATTAAACACTACTAAAAGATGTATCCGTCTGGAAAAAAAATATAAAATGTATTTGGTACACTATTGCATGACTAATAGTCATTAATAGTACAGCACTGAAAAATGACCTGATAATGTACAGTAAAAGTAATGCAACAATGAAGTATCCATGCCCATCCAGCAAACACACCGCAATGTTTTCTTTCAAAAATAGGTCTCCAGTCACTTACTTGAAGTTTACCTTTTCACCCAATGGGAAAAAATGAACTTACTTACACCTCCCCTGGTCTCCACTGACATGGGTCCGGCAGCCAGAGTAGTGGCCTGTAATCTGTACACTAGAATTGACAGCCCTGCAATATGGAAAAATCATAATGCTTGCAGATGGTAAGCGTTCATCAGTCAGCGTGGTCACTGACCAATAAGAAACGTTTTATACTTACAAGACCTGGTCCCCGGGTCTGAAGAGCTGCTCATTGGTCAGTGCGGTCACATGACTGAAATGTGAGTGCTCACAATTTGCGAGCAACATGATTATTCCAGACCGGGGGACTGTCACTAGTGTACGGATAACTATAGTGGCCGGTATCAGAGCAAGGACCAGGGGAGGCGTGAAGGCAGCTGTGAGTACGTTCATTTTTAATCACAGTTTGTATAAAAGTTGAGCGTACCCTTTAAAAGCCACCTGCTCCTTATTCCCCAGCACGACTTCCCAGAACTTTAGGTCAAGGAGGAGGCAAACACTGTAAACATCACAAAGTCACATGACTGCCCATGGCGAGACTACAGGGCCTATCATCCTTAATGTCATTAATACAAAATGCATTTGTGACTAGCATAGAAATTCAGCTGATCTCTCCACCCACAGCTGCCAATCAATCCCTGGAGGAGGAGCTGGGTAGTAGACCATTCATGGGGTTCAGAGTTGACTACAGAGGATCGGCATGTTAAACTGCAATACCGGCCAGGAGCATGCTCGTAAGGGTGGCTTCAGGGTACCTTGCAAGGGAACAGAGCCACCCTAAAAACGAAAACAGAGAACAATGATATTGTAAATGGAAACTGTAGAGAGATGACAGGCAGAAAACGGAAGGCAAACATCAAGCCTAGTGCAGATGTATGCTGCTGTATATAATTTTTCATATGTTTTTGATGGGGGGGGGAGAAGCAGGATGGAAAATATTTCTTAATTGACTGAAATTCTAGCAGTGAATGTGGTTTTCGCTCCATTCACTATACAATCAAATGTTAAATTAAAATGAATATTTGAATGACAATCGTCACGTCTCTGATGGCATTATTGAATGTTCTGATGAGATTTGAATGTTCTAGCATTGTATAGTGTATGTACTAATGCCGTATCAACAGATAAAGATAGTGATCTATGCCTGCACTATATGGAGGACTGCAGGACTTGCCTTTTATCTGGGATTACCAGTCACCACCATTGCTATTATTCAGTTAGCAGCTGAGGAAGACGCATTCCAGAAGCGCCACATAGAAGTTTCAAATATACCTATAAATAGGTGATTATACTGCAGCTGCAGAGGAAAAAATAGGCCTGACCTTTCAGATGTGAAGATTCTAGTGATCACACACACACACCTTGGTTTGTAGACGTTCCACCCGCTGAGTGTAGAGAGCGAGCAGCTGATGTCTCCAGAAGCTCCCTGGATAACATGAGATCTATGTGATGAGGAGTTCCTTCCCACACACATCAATGGGAAGGGGTGGTCTGAACAAACAGTCCCCAGCTACTTTCTAATCTAATTATTCCACTGTAATCCAATCTGACCTCAGACGCTGATTCCCTAAATGTGTGCTAAACCTA